CTTTTCCCTTTTTTATGGCCATGTCTCCTTCCCTTTGCTTGCTTCAGTTAGCGGGATTTACCTAGTGGAAGTTTACAGAAGCAGGCAGCAGATTTTGGCAGAGTATTGGTGTCAGTGACATGGAGATAAATCACAACAGGTTGTGAGTCATCAATTCCAGTGGAAACTATAGCTGCAGTTGCATATATATGTAGATATGCTTTAATTCTCCCCTTTTCTTCCATTAAATTGAATCTAACTTGAAACAGCATCCCTGGAAAAGCTTCTGCTGCCTTGGTTTGTTCTGATTAAACAAGTGTTACCTCGAGTCTATTGAGATGTTGTTAGATTAAAGAGAGTTGTGTGGAATTACATGGCTACAATTAAACTCCTCCTGAGCACTAAACTTTGGGAACAGATCTTCCTTTTAAACTCCTTTTTGTCCTTCTAGTAATGGTTTCATGAGGGATTTGAAATTTGCACTTGTCTTGACATAGTTTCAGCTTTGGAAAACCCCAGGATCTTCTTTCTAGATACATTAAGATGTGCAAGAATCAGATCCCACAAGGTTCTTCTTTCAGCCTGAGAAAATACTGAGCAGCTCTAAATCATATAGAATTGTCATGGTTGGAAATGACCACTAAGATCATCAAGTCCAACTGTCCACCCAGGAGGAAAAAAAAAAATCCAAAACAAAACCCAAAACCAAACATTAACAAAGCCAGTTGGTGAACTGAGCATCTCCTAGGAAGCAGAATTAAAATCTACAATGTAAATAGGAGAATGCTGCTTCTTGTACATGTTTGTTTTAAAAAATGTGAAAACTGGAAGTGGAATTTTGTGATGACCGTGAGTGGTCACGAGAACATTAAATGAATGTTTGAAAATGAAAAAATTTACGACTGCCTGAAAGCATTGCACTTCTGTGGCTGGTAAGGGCTGTACAAAGCTGAGAGGTGCAACAAATGTTGTAGTTCATTTCAAAAGCAGTATGTTTCTTCGTGACTTACTGAAGAGAATCATTGCCCTGGTAATTACTCTATGCTGTATGTGGTTTTATGAACAACAAAGGATAATTTTTTTTGCATCTCCAAATGCTTGGTATTTCTCCATGGCTTTACTTTTCCTCTGTAAGGAGACCAAAGCACATTGAAGAACATTGTAAAAAAACACCAGCTGAGTTGGAACCCCATGTGGGCTGCTCTGAAAGTCAGTTTAAGTTTTTTAATTTTTGTTCTCTGCAGATTTACTCTTTTCCTACATGTTCTGCCACAGGTCTAATAATGCATATGGCTTATATAAAAACATGAAGGATGCTGCTTTTATCCTAATATATTTGCCTCAGCCTTGGCGTTATAGATGGCTTTGTTGGTCACTTGTGCTGGAAGGGCCTTGGTGGATAGTGGAGTAGCTGTGCTGTGAGGGTAGGGATTAGTTCACACTGTGTAGCTGTGGACATTTAACTTTGTATTTTGAGTAATCTCCCAAAGGTGCCTGCCTCTCTCTTAAGGCTAAATTATGAGCTTGCTTCCTGCTTGGGAGTTCTAAATTATAACTACATTAAATACTTAAAATGTCATAAAGCAAACAAAGTAAATATCCCCCCTGGATCAGGTTCAAAGTTTGTTAAAAAAAAAGACCATAAACATTTAAAAGGAGAGAAAGAAGTAAGTAAAATAGGAAACAGAAGACACTCTTTTGAGTGTGTACAGTGTTCACACTCACCAGTGTATGTATTTGAGATGACTCAGGTTTGGTTCTGAAAGTTGTTCCTTCTGAGGTATAGTAATTTATGCCGTTTGGCACTTCTGCTGGGTTGCTGATTTTCTGAACTACCATGGCAGCCTTGCAAGGGCAATTTTGTAGGACTGGAAAGTTTTCTTCAGGGATATATAAAGGTGGTGGTTTTTTTGTTTGTTTTTTTTCCCCAGCATGAAGGGTACATGTTTCCTTGCCTCTGTACAGTGCAAAGGAATAACAATCCCTGTTTCCCCCAATGGTCAGCAGGGTAGTAGTGTGTGTAATTGAGATATATACCTAAACATGTTTTTTTCTTCAGTAGAATACTTATGTTTAGGTAGCAAATTTTCAAAATACTGTACTTGATCCTTATTTCCTCTTACCGCAGAAGAGCCCTTTGCACTGTAGGCCTTGCTGTGGTTAGTGGCAGTGGCCAGTATCTTGCAAACTGATTTTCCATGTCAAGCTTGGAAGTTTCCTACTTTAGCCTCAGAAATATGACAGGACATGTAGGTGAACACAGCAACAGAGGATGTTTCTGGTACAGTTACTTCTAATGTCCTCACAACAACAGGAAGAAATAGGGCTGGGGTGTGTTTTCGACTCTGCACCCTCTGAAAGTAACCACTGAAGGAGATGAAGTGAGGAGATAAAAGGGTATGTGGCAGCAGTTTCTTAATCACCCAGTCAGCTTTGTAATGAGTGTTCAGATAAAAATTGTTGATACATTCCCAAATATTTAAAACATTCTTTGGTTTTAATGCTCTGACTTATCCTAATTACATTAGAGAGCTGCTTTTGGTTTGTTCTGAAGAGTAAGTAGTTAATGTTCAAGGCAGGTGTTGAAACAGTGATGGTTGCCTTTTTTGGAAGAGTCTCTTGAATTCTTTCCAGAAAAAATAACGTGCTTGGCTCACTTAACCTTGCCTTAGGTCTGTGTAGTAAAAATCTCAACATTGGCAGGCACAACGGAACTCTACAGTCCTTTCTGAAACCTGGTACTGGAACCAGCATTTCAAATAGACTTAAGTATGTGATGAAAAAAATAAGTATAAGCTTATTGTTTATTTAAAGATGTTTACTGCATGATAATTTAGTGAGGATGTTTGTTCCATACTACTGAGTTGCTCTGCTTTCTGTGTGTCAGTTCCTCTGTAGTAGAACTTGGTAACTTTGGGGTTCATTGATAGCATCTGTCTTGAAGGAAGACATTTGTCATGCCACAGAGTGCTGCAGAAGGTTTTCAGGTTTTCCTTGGTAATAAATGGAAAATGAAATGCATGCTGAGGAAGAAAGCTGTCATTTTAGCAGAAATTTTAATATCTCAATTAACAATTAATAACAGCTTAAGTCCTTAAATCCTGAAATTTTTATGCATGTGAGATTTTTTAGTTAGGCCAGAGCTCTACGAAGATGTCTCACGTCTCAGATATAAGAGACAACGTTGCTCAGAGGTCTCTGCATGACCTGTCTGGTGTTGGGCCAGTGTGCTCTTCATCCCACAAGACTGCACACTGCAAAATTTAATGTGTTATGAGCATTGCCCCTTCAAATCAATCCATGGCTTTTTCAAGATAAGTTATTGCTGGCTTTTCCTAGTATTGTAGATGTGGGGTGGTGAATTTTCTCTAATGTCAGTTTGCTCTCTTTTCTGAGAAGTATGCTAATCTGGTGCGTTTCATGTTACACTGAATAAAGACTTTTTTCATTTAAAATAAATCTTTTATGGTAGTAATGAAAAACAAATAAGATCATTTAGAATTGAAACAGATGTTAGTTTAAACTTTGAAAACTATTCTGGCAAAAGGATTTCTAAGCTGGTTTTTGGTGACAGGCCTGATTGAACTCTGAATTACATAGACCTTTTCTTAGAGTATGTGATATATGTATAATAAATACTAATATAATAGCTGGAGGCACAGAGAAGAACTTTGAATTTTTTTTCCATGTGCCAAAAGGTATAATTTATGTCTATTTTGACAAACATTCATTGGTGCTAAACAAACTAATATATAACATCCTGAAATAGTGCAGTGAACAATAGCTCCAGGGAAGGTAATAGCTGGTTGCAGTTAGGTAATTTCTGTAATTGGAGCCTGACTTCACATAATCTCTTCTAAATACTTGCTTTTGTTGTATTTTGTCATTTAAAAGATCAAACAGATCCTTATGACCATTATCGTGCTGTAACATGTAAATAACAGTCAGGACAGGTTAGAAATAGTTAGAATATAGTTTTCAGTCTTCAGATCGTCATCATCACTAGTTTTGGATTTTCAGCTGGGAAAAAATCCCAAAACATACTTTGGTTCCACCCAAGAAATCTGGGTTAGTAGAAGGATGAGGAGGGGAGCAGCAGAGTGACTCAGACTTCTTCCCCAGCTGCTCTGAGGACAGCATAAGAAAACGGTGGTACTTTCCTGCAGCCTTGTCTCCTGCAGCAGTCTGGAAGTATGGGCTAAGTGTGATACCTGGGCAAGCACTGCTTACACACTACTACAGGAAATCTTCACTGATGTGTTCAAATCTGAAAGCTCATTCATCTTGTTGTGCTTTCTCACTCAAGCACAAATTGTTCTTGACTTAATATTTTAGATCTTAGTGATATGAATGGAAGGGCCAGCCTGGATAGGGCATGCAGGCCCCAATCCCCAGGCACCTCGTAGGAAGAGATAGTGAAGTGTACAGTGTGGGTGATGGCTCCTTGAGGTTGTGTAGATGGGGAAATGCTTTCACCACTTGCTATACAGACCTCCTGAGAGCTGCCAAATCTTCTGGAGGTGTTGGCCCATATCTGCACAGGGAGAGTGTTACCAAAAGGTTGCTGTTGGGATGATCTTGCATTGCAGTACATCTGGAATGACTTGTTTATCTTTCAAGACCATTGCAGTCTTGAAGTTCCCAGTCTTTGCACCTTCTTCTTTTCTTGAATGATGCTATTGCCACTCCAGTGAAGCTGTATTTCAAAATCTTAGGCTTTCCCACAGCACCCATTACACTTCTACTTACTGATTTTCCATTTTGACTATTATAAACAACATTTTCATTTTTCCAGCCAAGTTAATGCAATGTATTTCTAAGGATGATGCATGCTTCATTTTTTAAAAACATCTCTGAAGAAGGAATCGTTACGCAGATGTTAAAGCATGTGCAGTTCAGGTATTTTTTGAAATAAACCATAATCGCTTTCATTGAATGCTTTTGGATGTGACAGATCTCATTGCTTAGACATGCTACCTGTGCAGATAACCACATTAAAAAGACGTTTTTATTTCCATCAGGTGTCTTTAGGTTCCGTTGTTCAGTTTGAGAAGGGAAATTTCTCCTTGTCAGCAGAAACAGAAGAAAAGCTTTTTCCTGAGAAAAATGAACATCTGCTACAGTGGGCCCAGAAGGAATATGGTGCAGTAACCTCTTTCACTGAACTCAAAATATCAAGAAACATCTACATTAAAGTTGGAGAAGGTAAAACAAAACCAGCAGAATTGATAGTCACTTCCAGGTGTTGAGAATAAGTCTTGCTGTAATGTTACTTCACATTTAATTTTTAAGCATACCTCTCATTTTCCAAGAGATGTGATATGAAAGGGGAAGGCAGAGAAATAATAAATCTAGAGACCAGACCTTGGATTTTAGGCAAACTTTAATAGATTCTAGTGCCATAATTTTATGCTCATAAATGTGGATGCAATTGGCCAGAATATTAGAGTTGTGAAAGCTTCACATTTTAAAAGGAATAAGCTACTCATGGTGGTAAAGTGTCTTCATCTAAAGGACTGAAGGGGAGGGTAATTTATAGAAAGATCCAAATTTGTGGGGGTTTTTTTTCAGTAGTTGCTTTAATAAGGATCTTGACTACTTTGGGCAAGTATTACTGCTTTTCTGACCAAGGTAAATTCTTCTTGTTTATTTTCATCCCAAAGAGAGATATTTCCTGTCCCTGTAAGCCACATGCCAAATTCATCAGGTGGCCTAGAGCAGGTGGGAGAGGACTTCAACTCCTCAGGGGTTTCACAGGCCCACATTAGGGCGTTTGGGCTTTAGCTGAGCAATGTTGGAACAACTAAACCATATGAGCCTCTGCAGCACCTTCTGGCTTTCCCTCAGCTGGCTTCCAGTCACACAGCCTGTCATCTGAGGGACAGTCCCACCTGAGCTGGTCATAAACCATGGATAACACAAGAGAAACAGCTCTTCTCTTAACTACATTAATGGAGCAAGGCAATTGGTTTAGGAGGGTTTATTCCCTACTTATCTCTATTCGGGTTTGTTTTCTGGAAAATACCTAGTTAGTAGAATGAACTTTGCAGGGAGAGCAGACTTCCTGCTATTAGGCATGGCAATTTGGGGGTGAAATTCTCTTTTTCATTTTTTTTAATTTTCTTTTTTTTTTTTTTTTTTTTTTTTTCATTTGCTGAAGATGTCATCCAAGTTCAGCCTAAAGCAAACATCTAGGTTTAGGCTAAACCAGAAGCAGCAAGAATAAAGGCTGGTAAAAGTGAACTGGAACTAATTTGCATTGCAGCTAGTGGTCCAGATATTTTGAAACTAATTGTTGTCTTTCAGGAAGCTGAGTGATGGGAAAAATAGAAACCAATAAAATATTTTACCAAAATACAATGATTACTGGTGGGCTCAGAGTTTACTAGCACCAGCAGCCTCATTTAGTAGTACTTCAACAGTAGTTCTAGAGAAAATCCTATATAGCTTAACTAGTTGGCTACAAAAACAAAACAGAACAAGCCCAAAAACCTTCCGTGGAGAACCACCTGTATCTGATAATTTGATTTCCTGAAGCATGAGGCTTGCCCCCCGAAATCAGAACATGCCTTTGTTGGTTTTATCCAAATCCTGCCAAATTTGTACAGGATTCCCCTGCATGATTTTTGTTCTACTTGGCAGCAGTCTTGGATCTTAATGCCAGAAAATTATTCAGAAATATATTTATTAGCTTATTAAAGTGCTCTTGGAAACTATACATGGGAGTAGTGGTCTCTGCGTTGCAGAGATGAGCATTTAATTAGATATGACAGAAAACAGATAAAAATTTGTTTGTTGATTTGCACATCTCCAGTAAAATTAGACAGTTAAATAGGAGAGCTTTTGCATCATCTTTAGAATGTGTTAAAATACAATTTAATTAAGAGTAAGTGCACAAAATGGAACTTGGCAGGCAACCAAAGTAGACTTTCTGAGAAGGCTCCTACAAACTAGCTCAGCTGTAACCATATTTGATTTTGATTTAAAGTCTTGGCAGAGGGATGAATGTGTGTGTATGTGTGGGGGTTATGTATGTGTTCAGGGGTGGAGAGAGGGTCAGTTCTTGAACTGCAGCAGTCGTGTGAGGAGTTCTATGGAAACCACATGGGCTGTGGACCTGGTCTGCTCTGCAGAGTCAATGATGGAATCACTGGATTCCACAAACCACAGCATATGCTAATGGGCGTTTCAGGCTTTTCATACAAAACTCACACCCCTCAAGTGCTTTAGTCAGTTACTCTCAGCTGCCAGTCTATGAATCACAGCGAGTATTACTCATAATCTATCACTGGTCATATGAAGTAGTTCCTTGCCATGTGACTGATACAGTATTTAATGGCAGTATTTATGTAATTGTCTACATTTCAGCTTCACTCAAGTCAGAAAAATCTTAAACCGGGAGACATAATATTTTTGAAGTGGAGGCTGTAGCTGAATGCAGCAAACAGAAAATGCAAGCAAAGACAAAAAGTTCTGAAGGGAATCTTTCATAGAATAAAACTGCTTCTGAAGCTATGGTCTCTGAAATCACTTTTGAAGTTGCAAATGGAAGGCAGATGAGTGAGCTAGCAAACTGGATCAGGGCCAAGTGCATCGGAATCCTGTTGATTCCTAAGAGTGGCTGATCAAATATGGCAGGAATGGTGAGCACGGTGAGAACTTAAAGAGGCCAGAATGAGGGTTTGGAGCAAGGAAGCACAAGAAGTGAGGTTCTTGTTCTTGCTTTAAGTAGCGAAGGAGATGACAAAGTGATTGCTGTAACAATAACTGTTAGGTTCTAGAAAAACCTGGTAAAAGTGATTGTAGAACACTTTGTTCAAGAGAAGTCTGTTTAATTCCTTATGCCTCAATAAGATAGAATTGCACAAGTCAGGAATATGTATCAGTTAGTGAAATGTTACCTAATGAATCCAGTACCACCAGTGTAAATCTAGGGCAGATGTGCTAGCCTGAAGGAAGCCTAATTCCAACACATTTCTTAGCTGAATAAGAAAAAAAAAAAAAAAAATAGCCATAACTAGACTGGAAAATAGCCAGTCTGTTTACACATGGTAGCACACTGCTCCTGTCCTGGAAGGAACTGAAGCTTCAGTCCTGATTCCAAATTTGTACCCTGTGCACAGTAGTACACGTATCCTGCACACCATGCTTGTTTGGTTCAATACTGGTAGGTCATGTCATTGCACTGAGCCAGATGATATCTGTGTGTCCTGCTGGGGGGTGAGTACTGCCAAGAGCTCCCACCCTCCCTCCAGAGACCAGTGCAGCCCCTTCCCTGCTCCCACTTATACCCTGCCATTAAATGTCAGTCGTGGGTCTCATCTCCATCTTGCTGGGGGCTAGTAAACTGCAAAATACACATAAAGAAGCCCTGCCATCAGAGTGGCTGTGGAAAATCCCAAAAGCCTCATTTATCCCCAGCTCAGACTTGAAAAGGCAAGCTCTTTTTGGATGGGATTTTAATTGCTGAATCAAACTGGTCCTGCCCAGGGTGCCTGTCTTGGAGATTGACACCTTGTTAATGGTGCTCATTTTCACAAAAACCTCATTGTCGTTTTAAGCTGGAATACTTGGTTTTTATCCAGCATACCCAAGAACTTTCCAGTAATGCCTAAATTGTGACAAATACAGCAGACAATGTCTGTCCCCATATGCAAAATGGAGATGCTGCCCGTAGAAACTACAGACCCTGTGTGCAATCCTGTGTCTTTATCCAAGCAGGCTGGCACAGAAGGAAGGGAATGTGGCTGCTGGCCACTGCCCAGAGCCCCACAGGTACCTTCTGGCAAGCAGGGCCCCAAGGCATCTGGGCATGCTTGCCAGAGACCCTCCACTGAGGGTACTGCAGGCAAACCACTAATTTGATTCAGTATTGGGAGTCTGTGGAGATTAGTGAGACACAGGGTCCATAAACTGCCTGCTTGCTGGCTGGTTTAGTAAGGTTTTTAATTGATTGCAGGCACCTGCAGTCCCTTTCCAAAGTAAGTAGACAGCCCTGAAACTAGGAAAGAAAAGTAGTGTAGTGAGCAAAGATCACATGGATCCCCTTTTCTGTTCCAGCCCAGACCTTGGTGACTGGCACAGATGAAAGTAAATATCTTTTGGTGAAGGGGAAAGTAAATGTGTATGCCAAGAAGCCAATGACAGAGTTAAAATCAGCTGCAAAGGAAAAGCCTGCTGTTAAGTGGAGGCCCAGGTTGGGGAGCCTCTGTGCTGGCGGTGGTAAGAGCAGCGGTTCTTGAGAGCTCCAGAGACATTTAATGGAAGGTCCAGGACCAGGAACCAAGTTCTTAGCAATGCAAGCAATAGGATGTGTGGTAATTGTCCACAAACTACTCTGAGGCTGTTATTTTAAGGCTTGATTTGTGTTGTACAGCAGCTGAGGAGCAAACACCTAGTATCTCATCTCTGTTTCTGTGTGTATATATATATATATTTATATATATATATATTTGTATCTGAAAATTAAAGCTCAGTACAGACCATTTGGGATCATTTTCCCTTCTGTGCTGTTGTGGGAGGAGCTGGCAGAACTGCAGCTGCATTCAAGGCTAATCTGGCAGGGCACATACCAGATGTAAGAGGAGTGCTTTGCTTGGGCAGTATGAATAGTAACAGCCTCATAGCCTCATGCAGCTTTCGTAGATTCTATAGGGAAGACAGCAAGGTTAATATTCAAAGACTACTTTGTGTAAGATCAGGAGAAGAAACTCCCCTAATTGTTTCTGCAGTGGCCAGGGTCACAGGCATCTCTGCTCTCCCTGGAAAATTATGTACCACACAGAAATGTGCTTCAGGGGTGACATTTCAGCTGTCATTTAGTGACCAAATGCTAACAGTGGTCTCAGCTCAGCTTTTAAGAGTTCATCTATAGCTTTGCACACATAATGCATTATATATATTTTTTTTTTCCTGTGTTGCTTCTGGGCATAATAGGAAAGCCTTCCTTGTAAGGCAAAGGTCAAAGAGCCAGCCATTTGGAATTATACGTTTACAGGGCTTTGTATCTTTAAACATGATTCTTAGTTCCTTTTGTGTCTTATGACAATTCATATGTAAAGTTATCTCAAATACAAAGCATTCCTATTTTTCAGTGGAAATAATGCTCTGTGGGGTTCAGCGATGTAGGCTGTGCTTGAGGACTTCATACCAAGTGATTGGATTTTATTTTTTTGCATTGTACACTAGTTGATATTCATGAAGCTATCATGAGATATAGGAGGTTAAAACCAAAAGAGAGGTTTAATATCTACTCTAGAATTTCTTAATTTCAGTTATGGATATTATGATCAGACTTCCTTAATATCAACAACTGATTTAATCCTTTTCTTGCTATATTCAATTTTCCATGCACAAGAGAACTGCAGTATTTCTAGAAAATACTCACTCGAACTACACAATACATAGGAAAACATATTGAGCAAGGAAATGGAAAATATTTTCAGTGATCTTTTAAATATGGTAAGCTTACAATCAAGAAAATAATGCGTTTCTTAAAGGGAGAAGGAATTTTTCACAACAGTTTTCTGAGTTAATTTCAAAATAAATGTTTTTTTAAAGGTGCAAGGAACAAATTAAATGTATTTTATTCATTTTTTAAATGCTCACGTATTTTTGCTTCACTGTTTTCTGATATCTCTTTGTAGTAATTTTCTTTCACTAAATATTTCAATCTGTAAATAGAAACTATTCAGTTTAGAAGTATACATTTTACATCAGAGATGTGCTGTGTTGTTGTAACAGTGATATCTCTTTCAATATTATGTTGATTTGTAATAAGTGTTTATGGTAGGTAGGACATACCTTTTAGCCTAAAGACATAAGGTCTTTGACCTTATGACCTAAAGGTCATAAAATCTAGTGCTGCATTGAATCAGAAGCAATGCATATGTGCATGTAAGCTGGCATCGATGTGTAAAGGTGCATACACTTTTTTTCCCACCTCCAGATCAAGTTTTTCCTCCTTCATGCAATATAGAAAAGAATTTTCTCTCCTTAAATTACCTCGCGGGATACTTACAACCAAAAACAGCAGAAGGGTGCCTTATCTCTCACTTAGCCGAAGAAAGAGAAGTTCATATCATTGAACTAATCACTCCAAATTCCAATCCAATCAGGTAAAGTATCATCTAAATACACTAAATCTGTTTGAAATAACAACTAAAGATTTAACCTATTTATTGAAAATCAAGAGGGGTAGTTATCTCACTGCAAGATGGTCAACCCAGAGCCTGAGAATATTTTTGCCTTGGGAGAGTGAGAAAGTGCTGAGATACAGTGGAAATGGAGTAGGTGAGCCTAGGTGATGGGCCTCTGTGTGGAGTGAGTTGCAGCCCCATCCTGAACAAAGCTGCTCTCTATAATCAGCATCATTCTAAGTCCCTTGCAGTGTTACACAATCAGCCCCATCTCCAGGCCCTCTGGGCTTTTGGCTCTGGCTAATAGTACGATAGGAATTTGTTTTTCAGATGATAAGACTGCAAAATGTTTAAATTATTTGTTATTACAGTAAAAAAAGTAATAAGTTTAATTCCTCTTATTTTGTTTGTAGTTTTATGTGTTGCCCACAACTATGTTTACAAAGTTTATATCCACAAAGAAATGCACAGAAGCTGAGCTGGGCATGTGTAAAACTGCAGGAAGTGCAACAAAGGTCCCAAGATACACTGAGTCTCAGTGCAGAATGTTAGTTGAAATGTGTTACTGAGGAGGAGCATTTTCTTATGATATATGCCCCATAAGATGGTCTGCAAGTAAAGGTTTTTCTGTTGAATTAATATTTTTGTGATGACATGGCTTTAAACCCATTTGCTCTACTTATTTTACTGAGGTCTTGAAAATTTGGATAGTGTTCATCTATTTTCCAGCAAGCAGTAGGATGGACATCTGTTTTCTTTTCTTTCTTAAACTAAGTATATATCCAGAAATATTGGAAACTGGATACATGGCTTAATTCCTCAATACACGCAAGATCCTAGGCAAAGTAATTTGCACATTTTAACTGCCTAGGCAGAGGCACTCCCAAATATAGTATCTGTGCATTTTTTTGGTATTAACCTGCTTAATCTGTCTTTTTGCTTATTTTAAGGTATTATTTTGAGCTTTAATACACTTATAGCCAGTGGAAACAAACAGCTATATTTAGGCACTGTCACAGTGAAAGAAGAAAACAATATTTACTTTCTAAAGCTAACTGCTAGTAATAGAACTAACCTGCTCTAAACAATAGCTGAAATGAGTAGCACACTTCTTGTAAACAAGAGACAAAAATATTATTAGTCTAAAAAGCTTTTCTTCTTGTGCGAAATCAGTTAAGCATATGTGGAATAACAATCTGTTTTGCACATGTTGTGTTGCCCGGGATAATCTCCAGCATTTTAATCAGCTGGCTAGACAGTGGAAACTTGATGGATTGGAAGAAGGTTGATAGCTGAAAATTTCTGGCATTCTGGCCTAACTTTCTCTTTATTTTCCACATACAGTACTTTCCAGGTGGATATAATTGTTGACATAAAACCATCTCAACTAGGTGCCAAACTCGTCAGAGACGTCGTACTTATCCTCAAGTGTAAAAAGTCTGTCAACTGGGTTATCAAGTCGCAGGATGTCCAGGGAAAGCTGGAAGTGATTGTAAGTTAAGGCACCTTTATTTTTTGAGAGATACCATACTGCAACAGTATAGAATCCACATAAATGTGATATAGTGCTAGATCATACTGATTTCTGAATGTTTTCTCTCTTAGCTCTTTCTCAAATTATCACTGCATTTCAAGGAGTAAATACATCAACTATATATTTTTTTCTCCTTAAACTTTTAATATGGGCTATTAAAGTGAGCAGTGCATCACAGAAGCCAGCTGGTTAGTGCAAGGATTTAGGGTCTATGTCTTTCAACTTCTGTTGAAGAACCTAAACACAGAGTTAAATGTTCATCTCCCTTTTTATGCTACTTTGGTGAGTGGATCTACAGGTTCATCTCAGAATTTGGAGAGATGCCTGTGAGTGCAGAATGGATAGTCCTAGATATGTGGCACATGCCCATGTCCCTTCAGAAGTGGAAACTTTTTGCTTCTTGTGGTTGTAGTAGTTTCTAGCCCTCTTCCCTTCCAGTACGTTGTCCCCAGGAAGTGTTTGGTCAAATTGACCTCATCTCTCTTCAGACCGCAAATAGTAAGTTTTTAAAAGTTAAATCCAGGGTCTCTAAAGCTAAACTTCTGAAGCTGTACTTAACACCATTTCTGCTATGAAAGTGTGTTTTCTCATATTCTGAAATAAATAAAGTGGGACTGATCTTGCAGCCTGTAGATGTGTGGCCTATTTCTGTCTTAAGTGATCAGTTAGGAGCATGTAGTACAGTTGAGCTGAATGTTTTTTTCAGGACCACCTAGTGGCCTCCTGATTAACAGTTTTGCAGTAACTCAGATACATTTTCAAACTCCCAACTATCTGTATTTCTAAGAATTTTACCTTGGTTAGTAACTTTCTCCTTTTAATGTGTGCAAGGGCAATTCTGACAGGATCCAAAGGCTGCTTGATCTATATCTCCTCAGAGGACAGACTGGTATGCAGAATTTCATGCTCCAGTTTGTGAGTGAGGGAGATAAAAGGAAATAAATTATGGTGTTGCTCGGAAAATCGAGTGGAAAAATTATCAAGGGTGGATGATCAAAATCCCTTTTGATCCCTGACATATCTTTATCTTATGGAGAGGAGAAGATGTTCTGGTCATTCTGTAGGTCCTAAATAATCAGCCCTTAGAGAGAAAGATCAAGGTAAGTTGTCCAGGATTACCACACTTGTAAACAGAAGGGCAAAAAACAATGCTTATCTCGAAAGTTTCACTCTGAGTTATTACATAAAATTCACCACTTTATGTTTAGTCCTATATGGGTCTACTTTCACAGGGTAGATAATTGTCTCAGTTCACTTTGTGCTTGGAGATAGTCAAAGTACCATATTTTAGATACGTGATGGATATCTTTATGGATGATTAATTTTCAGAAAGAGGAATTCTAGAGGATTTTAAAATGTCTCCAGTGCTTCACTTCAGTATACAAAAGCAATGCCACTATTCCTTTTAAAGTTCTTTATTAATTATTGAAAGTATAAATAAAAAGTGTAAGGGAAGATTGTTTCTGTAATGAGGGGTAGAAGGTAACATTTTGTTTAGATTAAGTAAAACAAAGTAATAATATATATGTAAATGGCAGTATATAAAAGACTTTGTATATTCATATTAGGATTTCAGAGTAACTGCTATACTGCTTCACTTATATAGATGCTTCATTTTCTGAATATGTGAGTGTTTTCTGTTCTTTAGAAGTGGATGTGGGAGGAAACTAAATGACACCCCCATGTCATTAAAAAACCTGTACATCCAGCATTTAGAATCCATTTGTATCTCTATTAAGTTGAAAGCCTTTCCAAGCCCAAATTTAGACAATGCATAAAAACATTACTAAACAATTAGGTAATGTTTCACAATGTTCTTTTTATTAGTTGCATCAGTTCCACGCACTTCAATTTTCCTAACTTCTTGCCCTCAGTACAAATCAGAATTGTCTTGAGGGGATTGGCAAACTGAGAGGGAAAGGTTAGTGCTAAGCTGCTTCAAATCCAGGACTGTGAATTATTAGGGTCTAAGTTCATAGACAAAAAATGAAAAAGACTTTCTAGGTCATCTAACTCATCTCCCAGCTTGCTGTGTTTCTTGAAACACTGAAAGCGGATGGACACAAAACCAAGTAAAGTGGGAACAGCTGAGGTAAAGTAATTGCACAAAATGTAAATGCAATGCTTTCCTGCCATGCTGTGTTTAGCTCCTGTTTGCAGTCTGTCCTTACGTCAGCCCTCGTGCAGTGCTTGTGTGTTTCTGTGCTGGGGGACTCTGCTGTTCATTGTGCTTCCTTTGGTATCGGTGTCCTTGTACAAATCTGTGGGTTGCACAGTGGAGAAAGAAGTGAAATTACAGACGGAAAATAAGCGTGTTGGTGGGCGAAGAGTGAGAGAGGTAAAATGCACAAATCAAACCTGTAAGGAGTTTCAAAAGCTTGGAGGGAGAACAACTGCCCACTAGTTTCTGAAATGGTCTCTCTCTATTCTGAGTCAGTTAGTAGGTGGCTCTGATCGCCTGGTTTCATACATCACGTGTGAAGGTGTTGGCAGGGCAGGCAAGTGAAGGAAGGATGTCTTATTTCTGCAAGCCGTTTGCTTGGATTTGTTTCATTGTGGTGGTGCAGGACTGAACATTTACAGGCTCAGCGTGGAGTGGAGAGGTATAAACAAGTCCTGGAAATGGTCAGGTGCCAGCTAGGACAGTAAAATTCTAAGATAATATTTGTTCAGCTGTCTCCTCATGACAAAAAAGAAAAGAGAAGCAGAGAGGGAGATCCAGCAATGTTGGGGTAGCATAATAATTCCAAGCAGTCAAAGATGTGTGGTAATACAAAAATGAGATAAATAATGTCCAGTTTTATGTCTGTTGAAAAATAAAATAGTATTTGATCAAAACTGGTAGTAACAAACTTAAATTAGAAACTGATGCTGCTTTTTGTTCTTCAGTGGCCTTTGCTGGTCATTGATAACTGTGCTGGTAATTGTGTCCTCAAACCAGACACTCTGCACCTAAAATTCCCTTTACCTTCAGTTGGGAAGCTGTGAGTGTTTAAAGGATGCAGAACTGGCTCATTAGAAGAAATGAGGAAGGGAGGTGGAGGTAAACTCTGCCATTCCATCAGGGCTCTACTATGACCTTTATTCATGTCTTTGTTCAGAAGCTCCATTTCTGAGGTCAGATAGAGAGCTCTGAGCTCTCTGACACTGGGTAGCAGGTCCATAGGCCCACTGTCTGAAAGTGATCTGGGCAAAGAGATCAGTGCAGTCAATCTTTTTACATTCTAGCATGGAAGAGAATTAAGATTTGTTCACAAGGAGCAAAAACAATCGAGATTAAAAAAAAAAAAAAAAAGCCACCTATATGATGGAGAAGATAATCAGGCATGGAAAGAAGTGTTTGTTGCAGAGCATTCAATGATACTGTCTGCATATAGAAAGGGCAATTAATTCCCCTTGCAGAAATCATTGAAAAGTGTGTCCTGTGCCTTTTCTGCTGTCTGTATGTTCAGCTTGTTCTGTAGTTTTTGATATGATTGTTACAGTGATATAGTGAAGTTGTGAATGTAAAAGTAAATATGTTTAGCGTTGTATGAATACATGTTTAAGATGCCAAGCACTTAAAAACAAAAGTGTAATACTAGTGAATATCTTCCAACTGTACTTCTAACAGCTAGAGGTGCCTGTTATATTCCTTTTACTTCCCTGTTTTGACAAGAAAATTTGGAGGTTTGCAAAACATTTACTGAAAATCAAAAGCTAACTGACTTTTTGACCCATCTGTATTCTATGGCCAACTCTGATCAGTTGTTACCACTAATTATTTAATAATTAAGAGGTCAGCAAGTGTATTTATGAGTATGCTGTATTCATGTATATGTGTAAAGCTTGTATTGTTAGGTGTCGTTATAGTCTTAATTTTAAAATTTTATTTATGTGCAGAAAATGTATTTTGTCTTTTGAGTAGTTTGGCCTTGCATAAATGTGCGTGCTCTCACTTACTGCTCTATTAAGCATTTAAGTCAGTCCTGTTTAACATACATAACATTTTGCAGGAGGCACACAACATTTCTAGTATGAAGCTTAATCAGAGAGGCCCAGACTGTCCTTAGTGCCAGCTGGCTTTAGAGCATTAGCTGATATCACCTCTATTTCATAAGCATGTTACATCTTGCTATTTTCAGTAATGCTCATTTGAATGAAGGTTAAATAATGCTCTAACCAAAGAAATGAAGGGGACATTTGAAAAATTAGTTGTCATCTTCAGTTCACCTCTCCTCTGAAGTAATTAAACTCAGTTTTGAACATGGCATTACACAAATGGCTGTAAATGTCTTTGTCTAGTTTAGGGATCAAGAGTTTCTGGCTACCTTGCTTTATTGTACTCCAGGCAGAGGCTGGGAGGAAGGGGGGCTTTTCTCCATGTGTGCAGCAGTTTTGTGCCTAAGGTAGCAGAATTTGCTTTACTTCCCAGGTGTCCTCAGTTTGCTGCTATTTAATAGAGTAAAATAGAGTAAAAAACACGTTCAATCAGTGTCAATATTCCATTTCAATGGAATCCTTCAATGGCAAATAATGAACCAAACTGTTCTTTGCTTGCAGACATCAAATAGTATTGGGTTTGGAAAGGAAACAGAACGATCCATGACTATGAGTAAATCAATAATACCTGATATTCCCTCATCACATGAGAGTCTGATCAAGTGGGCTTATGAGCATAACTATAGTCCAGTTACTTCCTACACAAAAGCCCCTGTTGCTAACAGATTTCATCTGCAACTTGAAGATACAGGTAAGCTTGAAGATGGAGTTTTAACTAGAAAAAACGTATTTTGTATTTCCAGGAATATGATTGTTGAGAGGTGCTTCCTCAGCTTGAAGCTTTGTTGTTGGGGGTTGCACTTTCACTGTTCCTCATCAAGAATGCTGGTGATAGCTATGAATGCTGTTTTTAAAAAAAAATAATAATTTAAAAAAATTGACTTTTTTATTTGAAAAGGCCTGGCAAATTATGTTATTTCCTGTTATGTTGGTGCAGTGAAATCTTTATAGTTTATCCAGCTCATAAGCTATTATCATGAAGTTTTAGAATGGTTTAGGTTGGAAGACAACTTAAAGATTATTTAGTTCTGCCCCCCTGCCATGGCGAGGGACACCTTCCACTAGACCAGATTGCTCAGCTGCTGTTACAGTTGCCCATGCCCAGTGTTCATTGGAATTGACTTCAGCAACGGGATATCTTGTTAGTTAATAATCCAGCTTTGATATCTACTTTTATTCCAAAAGTATGAGTATAGTGTTTCCTTGATTCAATTAAATAAATGTTTTAAGTTGTTTCGAGACAAAACTGGCTTTCCAGAAAAGTCTAAGTGAGTGTAACAAATACAAACATTTGAAAAAAGGTAGTTATTTGCCTGAAGTCATTGCTGATGTAAAGACATCTGCATCCATTGAAACTAGTGGAGTTGCATCTGCTTTTTTACTGGTTCTGAATTTCAACCACTAAAAATACTATTTAGCTGTTTTGATAGGCTTATATTCACGTGAGTTTTATCAATTTCATTCTCATGGGTTACAGATAATTATCTGTTTGGGCCAAATGTTGAGATTTCTGTGCTGAGCAGTAATGTATAAGCCAGGAGACAGTGTTCTCATTTACTTGGTATAAAGTTAACTCTTGTTTAAGTTAACTCTGTAGTTCCATAACAGTGAAGTGACTGAATTTGTGATGGGACAGGTAATCAGATAATTTCACCAAATGTTTTGCACTTAGGCCATTTCAGCAGCACTAGAATAGTGTATTTGTTGAATGTTATGTTTCTTTTACCTCTGTGCGTGCCTTTTGTATATAATAGGCCCACTTCTCAAAGCTTATTTTCCACTCTTATGGAGGCAGATTTCTAGCAGAGACTAAACATACATACCACCATTAGATGCCTCAGTAACAACTGAATCCTTAGTGGAGAAATTTTGGCTAGTTACCTTTGAAAAGGACAAAGATTCTGGTCTGGATTATGTCCTTCAAGAACTTCTTTCCTGAGCAATTTTTTGGGGAACAAAAATTGTAGCTGTTAATACTTTTAGGAAAAATGCTGAATAGCTAATACTTTTTTTTTTCCCCTCCCCTTCTTTTAGAAGAGATGAATGATGAAGAAGACCATTCGCTTCCTCCGGAGCTGACAGAATTGCTGGGTGCTAACCCACTACCTGTCCCAAAGAATCCTGCATTAAGTGATGGCCTGACTTTTCCTTTTCACATTAACAGAGGAAGACATGCCACAACGGGAGAAGGAATCTTCCCATCCAGTGATTCAGTGGATACATTAATAAATCATGACTTTGAGCATTCCCTCTCAAAACATAAAGAACCCGAAGAGGTTCAAGGCAGTGCTGATGTGGCCCTGTCAATAAAGTGTGATGGCAAAGTCATGACAGTAGCTGTAGAAAAAGATTCTCTGCAGGTTGGTGTGATCTCATGTTCTCAAATTTGGGCAGGCTTTTTGGACAGACCATTTTATTTGTGTGGTCACTGAAAAAAATAAACATTCTAGGATCTACAGCCATCGCCACCCAAGCCCCCAAAATAGTTTGATGAGGAATCTATACTGTAGATATTCCTTGTCATAACTCAGGATCATCTTTCTTCTTCCCAGCAATGGAGTAGTTTTGCAGAGGGATTTCTGATTAGAGCTTTGCAGGGTTGGTCATGTTAAAAAATTACTGTACTTAACTATCAGTCTGAGTTTTTAATCTTAAAAATAAAAAGAAGCTGCTTTTGATAGCTGTGTGAGACCTATGTAGGTCTGTCTTTCCCATCTACCACCCCACGGGTTGCTCATGTCCATTTGCGTTGTGAAAGAGTCTGATACAGACAGCATTTTTAGTTCATTTCAGACCAAACAGAGTCAGTATTATTAATCAGCAGATTAAGAATGAACCTGTTGTTTTCTTTGTTCCATGTTACATTTATTCCCTGCCTGTCATGTATAACAGAGCGTTGAGAGTGACCTTCCCTGGATGTCAGTACAATGAACTTCACTTCCTCCTATCAGCAGTCATGACCAGCATTCTGAGCTGCACTTGAAGCAAGAGCCTAACACAATTGTTTCAGAGACTTACAAAGTGCCTTTGTTTCAGGCTAGTGGCTACACAAGGACAGAACTCTCGCTGCTGGATCACTCTTGCAAAGCCAGGATGAATGGTACCCATTTCATTTTGGAGTCTTCACTGAACAAATGTGGGACTCGCACAGCGTATATCTTGAACAAGATCGTTTATTTTAACTCTGTGAGTATTTTACAAAGAGGAGCCATCTTCTGCACTGTGTGTTGAGTGATACAAGGAAGCCATTGTGGTTAGCTTTAGTCTTAGCAAAAAGGAAGCATCCTGATCTTTTCCTGTCTATCTCAAACCTAATTGCATCTACTGTCCTTGTATTCAAGCAAATAGAAGGCTGCACATTCAGTGTGCTTCAGTGGTCAGATTGTATTCCAAAGGAAAATGGAGGAGTTAGAGTTAAATAATTCTACAAAACCGCATGACTGCACTTTGGGGACCAGCTGTACCAGTCTCAGATGTTGTACCAGCTTTTCCTATGCAGATTTGATGTACATACATACATAAGCTGTTACATTATGTACCTGTAAGGAGGAGTAGGAATGAAGTATTGTGATTGTACAAAGCTATTACTACTTAATTCAAGTACTGAATTATGTTAGGTGACATTTTTTCTTCTGTGTGTGAAAAAGGCTTTCAAAATGTGAGGAAAGACATTATCTGTGCACACTTCTCTCTTATAATTTGATTTCGTATTTCATTTCAGTTGATGTATGTCATCAAGGGACTTTTCTTGAGTACTTGTATATGAGTGATGATGCTAAGGAGCCCACTTGAGTTCTGAGCAACAGCTTCCAGACTGGCTGAGCTTATGAGCTTCAGTACAGTTCGGCTAGTCTGGGTTGGAAAGTAGTGGCATGTTTCTTTTGCTGAGCCTTCCAGTACATAGAAGTAACCTTGGCTAATGATGGAAAGCCTGTGGTCCAACCCAAACACAGCTGAGGCAGTCTGATCTAACCTTGCCTGGTTAAAACAATTCTATACTGGCAAGTCTGTAGCACCTAATTTTATAAACAGTCCCAAAACAAGACTCTGGATAGAAACATCTCCTAGCTACTGGATAGCAGGAGTCTGGAGCTAAATGCTGTCATGGAATAATTTTTTCATAGAATCACTTAGGTTGGAAAAGACCTTCAAGGTTGAGTCTATTGATTGTCCCCATATTCTGTTATGGCCCAAACTAAACTTCTCTCCGTCATCCATCATGTGTTTTGATAGTCTTAGCTACTTTTAAAAACTCTAAACAATGTATGGTATCTTTCAGAATTTGGGAGCATTTCTCCTAAAAAGTAAATACCATGCAGGGGAGTGTCAAAAAGTGTATATGTTACTTCTTAGTAGTTGCTCTATGTCCGAGACAACAAAGATGAAGTCCTGGGAGGGAGGGGATTAGCTGAGGAGCTGCAGGGCATACAGAAGAAGCAGAGTGCAGAACATTGGAAAACAAAACCAGGAATTGTCAGGAAGAAATGGAGAAATGTGCAAAGGAGAAAAAAAAACACAAACACATGGGGGTGGGGGAGGAGTAATTCAGTAGAAACTCAGAGAAAAACAAAGGAAAACTTAGGAAAGGGACATCATGGGTTTTGGGTGTACATCTCTGAAAAAAAATATGCAAATGACAGAAAATCCTCTCATGACCCTAACACTTTCAGTGATTTTCCATGAATGCCTTAAGGAAAACTGTAAGTTGCAAAAAATAATTTTAGAAAACCATTTATTTTTCCTGTGTTGGTTATAGAAATACTAGAAATAGAATGGAAATGCAGGGGTGCTCATTCAGACACGAGCATCCAGATCTTTGCTGGCTCTGAATTGTAGGAAAAAACCTAAGGAGTGTTCTCTAAACATGACCAACATAGCTTTACATGCTCAGCACAAGGCTGTGTAAGACAGGCCTTCACCATCTGCTTGGCTGGTGCACTTCTTTGGCCCTTGCATTGTTCTGAAGTGAGAAGAAAATAATAACCATGAAGAGAGAGTGCTCAGTTATCACCTAATTGTATGCATTTGCAATACCTTTTGTGCAGATTGTCATTCAGCTGTCATCACCAGCTGAAAGCAGTGGCTTTGATGATGATGACATGGAATCAGGTGATAATGGATTTCCAGGGGATGCTGATGAGGGAGATGTTGCTTTCTCAAGCTGGCCTGAAATTGCGGTATGTTACTCTCTACTTTGCACCTGACAATAGAGAAACACCTACTGCAATAGGCACTTCACATAAATTATGTTAATTGTATAGCAATTAATTTGTCTTTTAACACATTTCTTCTCACTTCTATTTCCTGTGACCCTGTTGAAGATTTGCACTAAGTAGACAGACCATGGGTGGGCCTGCATTGTACACTCCAAATTTATTCTTATCCAGCTACTACTCCTGATTTATAATGTATGTGTATTTTTTTTTTTTAATTTCAGTTTAATTGCACACTGCAGCAGCCAGAGGATGACAGAGGCTTGTTATGGCCTCCTGAACCACACATCACCAATGTGACCTTCAACATGGAGCTTTACAAAACAGATCTGTTCCTTGCTCCCTCCCAAGGACTCTTCTCTGTTGCTGAGAATGGGCCAATATATGTAGAGGTAACAAACTGAAAAAAAAATAATAAAATAAAGCTTTCAAACTAACAGGGAAGCATTTTGCAAGGCTATTCAACTAGGCCAAATCTGTTCCTATCAGTTGAAAGGTCTCACTGTTGTTGCTTTAGGCAGACAGGTAGGTTCATTGGTGGCTGCAGAGAACAGAAACGGGGGTAAGAAGCAGGTCAATGTTTTGGATTAAAAGCAAAAGGATTTTTGCAAAATGGATGAATTTAGCTAAAGGGTAAATTGGTCATTCTTGCCAAATCTTTTCTGTGCAGAATCTGAAGTGGTCTCTGAGCTCTTGCTCTAAACTGGCATTTCCTGATGACACCTTCAGAGTTAATTTTGTTGAGTAATATGGCTGAACCTCATCTGAAAAATGCAGACATGCGATTAATAGTTACAGGTGTCTGTCCTGCATACGCTAGTGTTCTCAGGTTACAGTGTTAATACAGATGCTGATCTTTCTCCAATCCACTTACAAAAGCCAGTTGCGATCCTTTGAATTCTGTGACAAGAGATTAAGCAGCTTTAGATAAATAAGAATAGCAAAGTCAACAGCCAGGTACCCTCAACTTCAGGTGTGTTTTGGACCTGATGATATTTCCTTGTGTTGCTACATTGACTGCAAAATCTGGGGAATTTCAAATGAATACAGTCAGTATTTCTAAAGATAGACATGTTAACATAATTTTGCATTATTTAAATAATGGTAGGCATTAATAAATGAAACATTTGCAATGAAGCAGTATCATCAGTTTATAGCTGAGTAAATCAGGGAGTGGTAAGCTGTGAGCTCGTAAGACCAGGATAAGGACTATATTGACAGAAGCAGTGCTATGCCAGGTTTCTTGTGCCCAACTTAGTTCCTCTTTATGAGTCCATGTTGCATATTATAAACATAGTGGTCTATTTGACATTGATGCAGTTTTCTTTATTGATTCAGTGTATTGTGGCTCTTCCTCATTCTTTTACCCAGTGAAAAGCACTTAGGATAGTTGAAGCAAAAATAAAGTATGTCCCACTCAGTTAAGAATATATTTATGAAAGATACTTTTCTTTTTTATTTGTATAAAACCAGCTGCTTCCTTCAGTGCTCTGGGATGAATCCCCCTGGCTCTGAGCCCTCTGGATTTGTCTGGTTCTGGAGCTGTTTATTCAGACAGATGTTCTGATTTCTTCATCACCTGTTCTGGCAGAAGCCTTTTTTCTTATTTTTTTTTTCTGTTTATCCTTCTTGCACAGTGGAAAATCTGTATCAGTTTTGAACTTCTGAGACTGTTCTAAGCTGACAACTTTTTTGTTTTGTTTGTATTTCTGTTTTACTTTTGTTATTAACAATTTTTTAGTAAAAAATTGGTTAAATCATAATCTGTAAGAACTCTGTATCTCTGTTTGCTGTAAATGGTTTTTTGTATTTGAATATTTTAGCAATTTTTTCTTTATTCTCTACTGCACTTTTCCTATCATATTTTGTTCTTCCCTTCCTCCTGTAGTTCTCCTTGAGATATCATTCATCTTTTTATTTACTCAGTGGTGTTTCATGATACTGTAGTATGCCTGTCCTCCTTGCCATAATCTGTATAAACTAGCTTACACCATCAGCTTGTTTACCTCTCAGTATCTGTGGCATGGCTTTCATCAGTCTTTATTTCTGTTCTTAGAAGATAGTCTTTTTTGCTTAGATTCCTCAGCACATCTCTTCATCTGTAATGTGATTGCTGCTTACATAAGGGAGAGGAAAACTGAGAAAAGCCTTTATTTACTGCACAATGCATAGCATTAAAAAATTTCTTCATAGACTATAGGGAAATTTGTCAGGCTTTCTTAAATATACATGCAGTACATGAGGATTAAGTACACATTTAAGACACGTTTTTCTTCAAAGAAGGAAATTATTTCTTGTGAAACTGTTTTCATCAGGTAGTGTTAATGATTAGGCACAACACTTCTGTTGTTTATTAAAAGCAACATGCTTCATCTGTTACAAAATCCCATTTACATATTTTTTTTCTACTTATTCTGTAGCATTTGTTGTCTGCATTCCAGTCCAGCTGAACAATATGAGTGCCCTGGATATTTGCAGCCTTACTTTTTTTTCATAAAAGAGCATGAATTTCAGGCCTACAATGAACTAAAAGGAACATTTCATAAGAAATTAATGGCTTTTAAGGAGGCTCCCTGGCACCCTGAGTCTAGGAATGCTACCCACATGTTAGACCATGACCTCCTCTGTCTCCACATTCCAGTCCAGGCTGGGGATGGGTGCTCGTTGTGTCTTGTTGCCGTCTAGGAATGCTACCCACATGTTAGACCATGACCTCCTCTGTCTCCACATTCCAGTCCAGGCTGGGGATGGGTGCTTTTTTTTTTTTTTTCCCCTCTTTCTTTCTCATTTGAGTTCAAATAGATTTAAAGACATGGTATTAGCAACTGACTTCCATACAGCACTATTCTGTGTCTAGGGGAAGCAGTGCCATCTCAGGTGGCAGCAGCAGTCATTGATTTCGAATCTGATCTGGTCTGGGTTTTATATCTGCTGTCAGAAAGATAAGGGCTGGCTGTATCTGTGCATGGTTTTGCTATAAACAGCTGCTGGTTTTGAAACAACAGATTATCTCTCTCAGTTTGAGAGTCTACCCTTAACATCTAGCCTTCAAGATAGTTCAGATTGGAAGTGGCTCTGGAAAACTGCTTAAAAATTGTTGAAAATGTTAATGAAATGTGAACTAAAAATGTAATTTCTGAGATCTTGCCGTCTCCTTTCTTTTTAATGCAGGTGTCTGTGACTAAAGCTGACAGATCCTTGGGCTTTGCCATTCAAACATGCTTTGTTTCCCCGTTTTCAAATCCAGATAGAATGTCTGACTACACCATTATAGAAAACATTTGTCCTAAAGATGAATCTGTTAAATTCTACAGCATTGAGAAGGTGAACTTTCCAATACCACATGCACAGGACAAAAAAAGATTTAGCTTTGTGTTTAAACCAATGTTCAACATCTCACTGCTCTTTCTTCATTGCGAGTTGACTTTGTGTACAAATAAAGACACAGATACTCAAGGACTGCCAAAGGTTAGTAATTTATTGAAGTATGAACTTCTGATTTAGGTGAAAATAAGATTTTTGTTTTATTTGAACATCAAAGAGAATAAACAGTTTTTTCTATGGAATTGATGTAATGAGCATGATAGCTCTAGGCTCAAGATTTTAATAAGAGTTGTGATGCCCATGCATTTTGCAAAATATACAGCTTCTGTTTAAATCTCATTAGCTGGTTACGTGGGATAAATAGAAATGGCTTTTTATTTTGCAAGTTGTTCAGGTTTATCTTTGCTATCCATATTACAGCCATATCCAAAGCACAAACTTATGTTAGCTTTAATTCCCAAACACATGCATAATATCAGAAAATACTGCAATCTGATTGTTTCAAAAGAGAATTGCCAACTTTTATAACTAATGAAAATTGCTGTAAATTAGTTGTTAATGTGTTCTAAGAATTTGGAATTATTTTTACTTTGAGGTTTCTGCTAATCCCACTTAAACTGTATATTTTAAAGAATATTTGTCATTGTTGATCAGCACATGTTGGTGGCTACAGTTTTGGCTACCAGATTTTTTAAAAACATTTCTATTAAAATGAAATAAATACTACAGTTTAAATTAAATTGTTACACTTACATAAAGATTAGACGATCCTTAGTGAAGGTAAAGCTTGCATTGTGAATTATGGATAAGAATTACCTTCACTGGTACATTTTATGGGGGTTGTTTGGAGGTTCTTATCCCCTTTTTTGTTAAGTAATAGAGGATAAAACTGATAATGAGGCAACTGTGCAGCTGGCACAGCTGTCCTGGCAGATGGGTGACTCTCTGACCTCACAAACTGATTATTTTTTTTCATTGGTAGTGCATTCCTCCTGATGAAGCTTGCACCTCTCTCAATGTGGAAATGATCTTGGCCATGATGCACAACAAGAAAACCTTCACCAAGCCCCTTGTAATAACACATGAAGGAAAACCAGAAGGTATGAAAATGAGCCTGAGCTACTTAATTAAGCTGCATACATTATATTGTGTAGCATACAGCCACTTGAAATAAGGGAGTATTTCAAGTATGTGGCACTGGATAATCCATGTGGTGATACTACGTTTGTAAGATGTAATTTGTTTAGACATTTCCCTGGCAGCAATCATGGCAGTTCATTGCTGTGTTTTAACTGTCTTTATTGATCTCTGGATAGGTGGTTTTGCCAGGCGTTAAGAAAAGAATACATAATATGGGTTTCAGAAGTATGAGTATAGCAGTAGGGCTTCCAGCAAGTTCTTGTTGCCTGGAGATCAAAGGCAGTGCTCTGCTTCCTGCTGTATTATTTCTTTGTTGTGCTTGTAAATGTATATTTAGGAACAACAACAATGAAATTACAAAGTATTATGGATGCTAAAGCCTGATAAGTTGATAAAGCAAAGGGGTGGCCAGCAGAGAGAGACTCATTAGGCTAACTGTTAAGAGCAGAAGATGAGATGCACAAGTGTATTTTAGCTCCACTTTGGTGGGACTTATTTGATTATATAATTCTTATGGAAAAAAAACCCAGGATGTGGCCAGTAACTGGTTGAAGTAGTCAGGCTGAAGAGCATTGAGATAATATCTTTTTATTAAGGGAGTGGAACATCTCCCTTATGAGCAAAGGCTGAGGGAGCTGGGTCTCTTTAGCTTGGAGAAAAGGAGACTGAGGGGTGACCTCATTAATGTTTACAAATATGTAAGGGGTGAGTGTCAGGGAGATGGAGTTAGGCTTTCCTCAGTGATGACCAGTGATAGGACAAGGGGTAATGGGTGTAAATTGGAGCATAGGAGGTTCAAGGTGAATATCCGAAAACTTTTTTTTTACTGTAAGAGTGACAGAGCACTGGAACAGGCTGCCCAGGGAGGTTGTGGAGTCTCCCTCACTGGAGACATTCAAAACCCACCTGGATGCGTTCCTGTGTGATGTACTCTAGGTGACCCTGCTCTGGCAGGGGGGTTGGACTAGATGATCTTTCGAGGTCCCTTCCAGCCCCTAAGATTCTATGATTCTATGATGCTAAACAGCGTCATGACATGGTACTCTAGCTTAAGAATATGACCTGTGAATGATGGGAAATAAGAACTGTTTTCACAATTTAATTTGAAAGTTTTTCTTAATTAATCCCTCTGACAACAGCATCAGTCACGTTTTGATGCATTTGTAGAAGTAAATACATGTGCATTATCTTTTCTTTTTGTATTAGCATGTCAGTTTCATCAGAAGCTTTTGTGGCTTCACATGTACATCAGAATCTTTCAGTTGTGTCCAATGCCTGTTGGACTTTAGGAATGCTTTTTGGGGAGTGTCAAAAGGATGAGGATCAGAAGTCCTTTAACCTCCATTGTGCAGTGTGTGCTTTTTTTAGTCTTTGAACAATTTAAAGTGCCATGCAGCATTGCTAGGGGACATGAGCAAGAACTGTTCCTATTTAACTCTGCAAGTTAGCTCATGTTTAGTTTGGGTTTGGGTTGTTTGGTTTTTTTTTAACAAATTTGCTAATACAGATGAAATCCACTAGGAATTAAAGGCAAGTATTTGATCTGTCAGCGGTACAATTAAAACTGTGCTTTGGGCCTGATTCTGTGCTCTTTCTGCAAAGCTCTCTTTTTTTTTTGTCAGTGGTTATTCTATTGGGAATGAGTAAATCCTGCAAATGAAGTTCAGCTTTCAGTAAACAGACTCGTACTCTGAGCTCTCTTGCCCTTCCAATGAGTGGAGCATTGTGCACAGCTCCCGTCTTCAGCTCCGCTCAGAATGTTGTCTTTGTCAGAGGCACAACGTCTTAGTGTGCAAAGACAAGCTACATTTATAAAGATGAGTTACAAGACAACAGTGTGATAGAGTATTTTGTTGTATTGTGGGTGATTTAGTCTAATTGTGGGATGCGTGATGGAAATCTCGCCAGCATATCGCAGCTTTCAGACATCATAAAGGGGCACATCTAACAACGTAGCTTTGTTGCTGTGCAGTTGTTCTGCAGTGAATCAAGTGACCCCTTTCTAAAAGCCAAATGCCATTGTTGGCCACTACGTGAACCTGAGGTTTGGAGAAGAAATTATATCCCATTACTGAACAGGAGAGATGACATCTCAGAGGTGGTGTTCTTCACTTTCTTTCATGTGCACAGGCGAGCATTCATTGCTGTGCATGCTCTTATATGAGTTACTGCCATTGGGTCTGCTCTCCCAGCCAAATGGAGAAGTCATTCACTTGACATTTTAAAACTCAGGACAAACGACTCATTGTAAAAGTGCCATCTATTTTTTCTTCAAACATAAGCTTATGACTGTCATTGACTGTAATAGAAATCACAACTATGTATCAAAATGAGAACAACTTCCTCCTCTCCTAATTTTGTTAGTTATTTACAAGCTCAGTTGCTTATATTATGGCAGTAGATCCCTGTGGAACTAAAACCTCCTCGCTTCATGTCACTTTTTTTTCCTTTGCATTCTGGCGTTTTACACACACACTTCAATGAAAGGCATATAGCTAGCAATTTAAATGCTAGGAAATATGTTTTCTTTGGATGAAATAATCTACCATTGTCATTGCTCAGTTTTTTGCTAAGTGTAGAAACTTTAGATTATTCTCTCTACAGCAAAAAGTGGTCATAGAAAGGAGGTCAAGAAAGCAACTGTCAAGTGCCTCTATCTTACGAAGGTATAGAGAATCATGATCATTCCTAAAGGCTGGCTGATGATACCTTTGAATTAAAAGCTTTTCCTGGATCCTCAGAGATTCCTACTGCTTCTGTGTTTCTCTGAACAACCCTCATTAAAATACATGTAAGAACTGAATCACTGGAGAGAACTGATAATGGGCTGCACAGCTTATTATTAATTAGCAGACTTTATATTCTCTGTAGAGAGGCCAATGACACAATGAGCATGGAAAATTCATTCTCAGCTCAGAAAGCATTTCCTTGGCACTTGGGATATGCTAGTGGAGTGTTTGGACAATCTGATAGTGCCCTTACCCATGTTTGTACTGTTCAATGCTCCTTGGTTGCAGTCCAGCCCTCCTCACAAATACTACATTCAGTTACACTTCTGCTGTTACATGCACTTGATGACTTCCCAGCTTATTTGTGCAGGCACAATCCCCCAGCCCCCATCCCATTCCCCAAAATCACCTGTTTCCTACCATCCTGCCAAGAGTGATCTAAAAGAGATACTCATGTTAGAAGAAGTGACAGTAATACAGTTTAAGAATAAGATGTTTTTTGGATACTGTAGGTACGTGTGTCTCACAGCCTAAGGATCTTACAGGATGTTGTGGGCAGTTTAGTGCTGCCATTGGAGTTTTAGGGTTAGAAGTATAGTCTTGGTTTAAGAATACTTCAAATATATTTATTTTCAGTATTTTTGAGCCACTGTGTTTACATAGCAATTAAACTTAAATTTTTCAGTTGCTAAAGATACAAAAACATATATTGAGACACTGCCTTATCAAATCCTTTTACAGCTGTTATACTGAACACACTCAGATATGCCAGAATTTAAATGTGGTCTGTAGGTAACTGGGCAATCCAGAAGCAAACTGCTGCTAACTAAATGGGTCCTCAGGTCTGAAGCCAGAATATCTAGTTCTTCTACATGAGGTACCATTCTTGAAGAAAGACAAGAAGCAAGTTAAGCAACAGAAGGGAAAATTCTTCACTTTTTTAACATGTTTACTTATCTCTTTCTATTATATGCTGATAATGATGATATTTGATATTGTTGCCAAGAATAATAGCTTTGATATAATAGTTATGATCCTCTATTTCCCATATATAATTAAGAAACAAAACAAAACAAAAAAACTCACCCAACTTCCAAGACAAGAATACCAAGTAGGACTCAGGAAAATGTGTGAATCAACACATACTTATGCAGTTTGGACAAAACAGCGTTTATCATACCTTAATATTTTAATTTAGATATGATAGCCAGTGTTTGATATAACTTTAGTGTGTGTGATTTTGCATGCTGGTATCTCATGTTTGTGATGAACAAGTAGTTAGATCAACATAATCACCTTAAAACAGCCTGTGCAATCTGTGCTTTTTAAGAGCTCCACGTAGGGATAACCAGAGGTAAACCTGATGGTTTGAGACTGGGTGGGAAAGGTTGCAGTGTAGTTGTCAGCAAAATATATGCTACACTAACTATGCTGTACATATGTTCTTCCAAGGAATGATCAATATCTGAATAGAACTTTTCTGAGCTGAGCAAGATTTTTTTAATTCAAGCATGTTTTTTCTGAAGTTCCTGGATTTAAAAAACTACAATTGATGTCTTCCTGTCAAATAAGATCCTGAAAGTTGTTTGCATAGTTTATAGGCTTTATGTGGAACTCTGTCTAATTAATGTTCTGTGGGTTTTGTCTTTTTTTTTTTTTTAAAACCAGATCCTTCCCTTCCAAAGCCAAATGTGAGACAGCCACGTATGTATCTCTTAAACCCATTCCTTTTAAGACTTTTAAATGTTTGTCTAGGAAGTATTAAATGAATGAAGAAAATTTTCTTCAAGTTTTTTGAGTGTGTACTAGAACAGAATTCTGACTGTATTGCTGATTGAGAGATTCCCATCAGCATTTAGAGAGAAGGACTGTGACCTTTTGTGTATGTGAAAACAAAATTTAGGAAAACACCAGTGAGAGTCTCAGCCTTAGCAATTAATTTGCTGGTGTGTGTGTGTTGTTGCCCTCTTCTCTGCTGAGGCCACAGCTTCCCACTGGCAGAGTTTCGGCAGCAATGCCACCCTAGGGAGCTCTTGTGTCCTATTCCAAGCCTCACTCTTACCCTGTGTTGCAGCTGTAGCCACATCCCTAGTTGCTCTGGTGTCAGCACCTGTAGATGAGGTCACTGACTAATACAGATTACTTTGTTTTTTTCTGTTGTCTTCGTATAGTGAATTAACTCGGGTTATTACTGACCCAGGATGGGAAGAAAATGAGAGAATCACCGCTAAAAGACAGTTACAGACAGAAGGGTGAAGGTGATTTGTAGCCCAAACCAAGAAATAATGGAAAAAAGGGAAGATTAGAAAAGGAATCGCAGAGTTGTTTTTTTTCCTCTGCTCTGTCCCTGGTTCTTTGGGACTAAATTTGCTCAAAATAGCAATGAGAGATCATGCTTCTGCCACTTCAGCCTCTCGATGGCTTTCTCCTCTCCAACAAGCTTTCTCCTAAGAGGACAGGATACTGGCTAGTGCCTTGTGGGGAAAGAAAAAAGAAAAAGAAAAAAAAAAAACAAAAAGAAAAAAAAAAACAACCAGGAGAAGGCTTTTCTAATTGCATCTAAAATGCAATGGATGTGGCCAAAGGAATCAGAGATAGTCTCATAGAAGAAATGAGAAAAAAAACCTTCTAAGCCACTGTCTGTCAGGTGTTGCAGATGCAAATCTAGTTACAGGCACCCAGAAATGGGTCCTGAAGGCCCTTGCCAACAGGAACTGCTGGAGAAGACATTTGTCAGAAGGGCAATGGCCCTGAGGATCTGAGGAGCTTTTGGGCTGGGGGATGTTTGTAGGGACATCTGCTGGATGCAGGAACATGCAAAGTGAGGGTATTGGTTCTGTTTTCAGAACTTAAATTCCACTGAAAGATACTACCAAGAAGATTCAGTCAGCTCATTTCCTGGCCAGCTTAGTCAGTAATATGTTATTCACTGGCCTAAGCCATTTTGGGCACTGGAAGACATTAAAAATACTGAAACTATAAATCAGTTTTGTAAGAATACATTTTCGCAAGTGATTGCTTTTTCTAAGTATTTCTAATCACCAAAAAAAGAAAAAAAAAACAAAAGCCGGAAATTTCTCTGTTTGGATTATTATCACTGGGGCACAAGACACCCAGGAGCCAGATGCTGTTACCCTTGAAATGGTAATGCAAAAGGGCCTCTCCCCTAGAAAGTGATTTGCATGCATGTGTGTGCATTTCTATTTTTGTGTTCTGGAATTAATTTCAGTTATTGAAGACATTGCCAAATGTGAAAAACAATTGTTTCTATTTATGTTTTGCTGACCTTTTGCTGGCATCTCTTCCCTCTTTAACAGCAGTTCCGTTCTCCACCTAGAACTTGCAGGAGATGTAGGGGAAAGTTAGGGCATGTTGGATGTTAGGGCATTTGAATGAAAAGTGTCTTTTGCCAAAAATCTCAGCCTTTTAAAAACACATTTTTTTAAGGTAAATTGATAGAAAGTAAGTTATTAGCAGCCAACAGAAAATGCCTAATTTTTTGCAGTGTTTTCCAGATTTGGGTGTGCTGAGCTGTGGCTTTGCTTTGTGATGTGGAACAGTTGGTTGGCCTCAAGCCAGTCTCTGAAAGCATCACTTTTATTTCCTTGATGCAAATCTGCTAGTCTGTTCCTTTGAAAATGCTTTAAATGGTGGTTAATTCTCTATGAATATTAAAAAGAAAAACTTTCCTGTGAAAGTCTAAGTGTGAATTTTTGTGAAACTGTATTTGCCACTGCAAATAAAAAGTCCTTTTTACATATGTTTCCTTTGGTAGCTGTGCTGTATGGGCTGGACACGCTGACTGTGGTGGGCATTGCCTTTGCTGCGTTTGTCATTGGAGCCCTGCTGACAGGAGCCCTCTGGTTCATCTACTCTCACACAGGTAAGTACGAGGGCTCTGACAGACCTCAGGAAATGTGGTCTGAACTCTTGCAAGGTGGGAGGAAAGGGGAGGGGGCCAGCAATGGCCATCCCGGACTCTTTTTTTTCCTCTCTGTTCTTACTGGGGCGTTTTCCAGCAGCTCCTCCCATGGGCCAGTTGGTGCGTATCAGCAGTGACACGCCCTTCCCTAAAGGGAGGTGTTACATGTTATGAACATGATTTAAAATTTGCCAAAATAATTTTAAACGCCGATCTTGAAAACTCACCCAGGACATGCGTGAAACTGAGTATTCCTGGCTTATGCATTATCATTATTAGCATCTCTGTATTTCAAATTTAGTGAACATTTCCCTTAATGGATCCATAATCCTTTTTTTAAAAAAAATTGTGGTTACTAAATTAGGTTGATGTGACTGGGAATGTGATGGAATCAGTACAAAAAGTGGGCTGAATAACTAAATGAATGCTTTATTTATGCAGACATATTCTAAATGTAACTAGACTTGAAAATTTTTCTTGAGCCTTGGTTACATGGAATTTTTGTCTCAAGTATTAATTCTTCCATTTCTCGACTGTTACATTAATTGGTAGAATTAATATGAAATATTGCTTAATTTTGTTGAATCAAATAACCAGAAATGTGGTTGAATTGGTGCAGCCTTTGCATAGATAGTTTTTCAGTATCTCCTCAGTTTTCATCTTAAACTAAGGAGAAATACAGTACTGTATTGGAAGAAGAGGGAGTTTTGGGAGCTTTCTGTTGCATGTAATCTGCAAAGTGGTACAGGCAAAGACTGGACACTGACAGGGCCCTGATTTGCAGCATCTGACCTTGGCTGCTTGTGGATTTTGGGGTATCTTGGGATCCTTGCAGCATGATGGACTCCCAACTACTTCCACTTTTGACTTTGCAAAACCTTGCCAAGATCTCTGGGAGGTGGGGAGAATGTGAGGCTAATTACACCAAACCTCTGGAGCACTGGAATTCCCCTGTAGCCCACTGCAGGGTTTTTACAGCATCTAAAACCTCATGGAGGCTGTTTAGGAGTGAGAACCCAACCCTGATGGGTCAGAGCTTCTGTAAATATTATGACCCAGGAGCTTACATTAATTTGGAAAAATAAAAAAGTGGGTGTTTTTCCAGTTGGCATTACAACAGTTTTGTATAAGCAATTTAATACTTCTCAATGCATCAGCTGTGTATGAAGCTTGTTTGGAATTGAGGCAAATGTGGAAAATGTAAAGGTTGTAATAAAATATATAAATAGTATAATTCTGCCTCATATACTACTGAAACATTGTATAAGAAAAGTAAATGCAATTTCAATGAGTAAATGTATATGTTAAGGTGATTTCCAAATAAGCAGTGTTTATTAACAAAAACGTAAAACAACTGTTAAATTAATATCATTGGTACATAACTTGTGGAAGTTCAATCTCGGTTCATATACAGAACTATCTATAGATGTGTGTCAGTAGCCATGAGCACTGGGAAGCCAACATGCTAAATCCTTCAGCAACAGTAGGACTTGGACCAATCCCATTAAAAGAGCTGTATTAACAGAGTACATTGGTTGTAGTGACCATGTGCAAGTAGTGAAGAGAGCTCTGGCTTTGTATTTGAGAGATGAAAATAAGTGGAGAAGACCACCAGACAACAAGGAAGGGGACATTGTAACTCACCAGATCAGAGAACCATAGAAATTATAAAAAAAAAAATCTAGGAAGTTATCTGGTTTGGATTTTCAGAGGCTTGTGAATGTGAATCTGTGTTCTTGTGCTCATATATATGCACATACACAGATAGATTATATATATATTTACACATAAAGCACAATGTGCAGCAGAGTGCAGTGAAGGCTCTGCCAGAGGATGACTGCAGTAGCAGGCAAGATAATCCAGCTGCAGTGGAAACATTTTAGAGCTGGCTGCAGACTTTTGTTTAAAAAGGTGGGGGAAAAGTTAATCTAAAATTCACCTACAGAATGACTGTCTCTTGCCATTAGAGAATTCATACATTTCTGAATTATGCTCTGAAATGTCATCTCCTGTTGTAAGTAGCACTGGGTTTCTAACACAGGATTTAGACCAAAGGCTAGAAAATATGAGTTCATTCTAAAACTTGATTTGGTGATACTCAGAGCATGGACAAAAGCTGCTTGCGGGTGGATAGTGGCAGCTTGGGATGTGTGAAGTAAGGTATTTCTGCTGCTATAGTTCTATATGCAGTACAGCAAAGGCCACCCTTTTGCCAGTAGTAGGAAGTTCTGCTAATATAATTTTATCAGTGTGTTTCTACTGAGACTCATTCTAGGATGGAGAAAGCTTTACAAGATTGAACTCTTTTGTTCATCTGACAAGCTGTTAACATTAAAACCTCAAACAAGTGACAGCAGAAAAAAAATACAAAGTAAGTAGAATTTAATTTCCAAATATTGAACAAGGATTGTTGTGTTGGTTTTTTTCACGTAGGACTTTTGCTGATTCCAGTAATGAAAAAAATGGAGATTTCTGCCAAAGCATAGTAATTGTGCTTTAAAACATTCTAGATTTTCTGAAGCAATTCAGCATTGAGTACAGATGTCCCAAGCTATGCAGGTAGTAGGGGAAGAGAGGAGGGAAGCTAAGATTATGCAACAGAGGAGGAATTTTCACCAACTCGGCTGCAAAAGGACTCTGTACTTTTGATCCTTTTTCCAGTCAGTGAAGGATGTGTAGGTGGCTGACTGCTTAGCACAGTGGTGTCAGTTGTGCCCAGAGAGAACACAAGAACAAAGGGAAAGTAGCAGAGATTTCCTCAAATTAACCCAATTTACCTGGGAGTATGAAGAAGCAAAAATCTTGTGGTGTATATGGGATGCAGAAAACCTTCAAAATTTAACCATGTAAATAGCTGCCAATGTAATATCTGCCTTAGTAGGAATAATTGACTATATTTAGGAAAGGGCACACAAAAGTCTGATTAGTAAATGAGGCTGCTAAATCAAGGAAAGTGAATGCTGTTTTACAGAGACTATCAGTTGCTTCATTCTCTTAGAAAATGTGCTCTCTTTCTCCAGGCAGTGTTGCAAGTTAGCAGGATAAAATGTTCCAAAATCTGAGAAGTTAAAAGTGTCTTTCCTCCCCCACTTCTGCCTTTTTTATGGGATCTGATTTAAAATAAACTGACATAGCAACCAATTATATTTGGCAAATGGAGATAGAAAAGCAAACATTCAGACTTCCTGGACAGGGAGTACAACTGGCAGCTTTCCTAAGTGTGAATAACAAAGTGCATGTTGTTGAATTCAGATGGGTAAAAGCTTGTTTACTGTCAATAGATGAGACATGTCCATTTGGAGCAGTTCTGGTTCAGTAACATGAGATACATGAAGCTGTTTACATGAAAAGGACAGATGGAGAAATGCCTCTTCAGTGATAATTTACATTTCTTTACAACCTTTTAATGAATGTTCTTCAAAAAAAACCCCTTTGCTGCAGATTAGCTAAGTGTTGAGGAAATAAAATGTAGGAAAAATCACCCGGTCCAAATGTAGCTGCTCTGCTGCATTCAAAATGTCACTGTGATTTGGATTTTTTTTTCTTCTAGGACGTTTAGAATTTGTTATTGTTCCACGGGAGATTGTGGTGTATCAGCAGTGTTGATCATGCTCAAGAAATGAGGTGCTGCAGAGGCAACTGAGTTACAGCAGAGGGAAGGGGCTCCCAGCCCAAACTGAAGGGAAGGGGCTCCCAGCCCAAACTGAAGGGAAGGGGCTCCCAGCCCAAACTAAAGGGAAGGTGCCTCCTAAGACGCTCTCCAGAGAGGCCAGAGGAGCAGCACAAGTTGTTGGGCTCGCATGGGGACTCCGGCTCCGCCGCTGTCACTGTGCCATGAAATAAAAACATGTTTAGCTTCTAAGTGGATTTATGGCTAAACGCACGCAGACTGCATTTCCACGCCGTGCTGAGGCAGAGCTGTGTGCGGCCGTGTGGTCTGTGAGATGGTGAGGGCCGAGCTGCCAGGAGCGCAGGTGGGGCTGGGGGCCTGGCCGGGGGAGCCGCGGGCCGGGCTGGGGGCTCGCAGGCCTGCTGTGCTCTGGTGGCTGTGTGTGCTTGTTTGTTCCAATGAAAGGGAGTTTGTTTATCACTGCCTTTATAAACATACCCTGTACTACAAAAGGAAGGAATAGTTGCACATAAACAACTGGAGAAGGGAGCAGGTCGGGAGAGGAAGACATCCAAACAAGGCTTGTGAAAGCTTTTACAGCACGATGACACAGGCACTGATTTTATACAGTTCGTTCTGTTGGGTCGGAAAGCAGTTTCCAGTGCAAGTTAGAGGTGAAACTTGGTTTATTTGGAGATGACTGGGCCTAGATTCTGACCTTCTCCATCTGAGCAGAAATCTGCTGCTCATGGACAAGTTTTCTTGCACTGGGAAAAACAGAAGAAATACCTGGTCACAAGAGTAAATGCTGATCTGAATACGGAATTCATGATTGACATCCTCACCCTGTTTTTAAACATTCAATTGCCTCCTGGGCAATATGGTTTAGTTTGTTGTTTTTCTGTCCTGTCCTTTCTTTCCTCCCCATTCCTAAACCAGTGGGGTGTAAGGCAGGAGCTGTGCACTGTGGGGCCTTACGTGCACTCACAGCTGTGGCTGCAGCATGAGCTAGCAGTGAACCTGCTGGTTTCCATTACAAAGAGCACTTGCAACCTCTGCTGTGAAAAATCCTCAGACCTTTCTTGTTCATAGCAGACCTCAGAATACTGAGCAGCCTGCAACATTTTCTGGCCTGAGACACACAGTGTTAAAGGCACACTTCCTCTGTGGCTGCATTCCCAAGGAGCTGAGGGCTCTGGCAGCTGGGCAGCAGCACACAGGGCATGGGGATGTGCCAGTGCAGTTCCCGTGGGAGGAAGCTGTTTCATCCTGGCTCTGTAACCCTCTGGATGCAGGCTGCACCTCCAGCCTTCAAACTGAAGCCTGCATTTCATTGGCCTTTTTCCATGAAACAGCAAAGCTGTAAAGTGGTCCAAGTAATTTAATGGGACATGTGAGTGACAGCTGACAAAAGAAGATTGGACAGTGTCTACCTTGGTTTACATCGGCTGCTTTTAAAATGCTTAAGGAATTTTCCCCATGTGCTTAGCAGTGCCAAGGTGCCAAAGTCTAGCAACACATTCAGCAGTACTCTGAGGTCTGTCACCCAAGAACTGCATGGAAATACAGACCACCCGATGAACAAGACCAGGAAGGAATGGATTATTGTTTTCTGTTACAACTAACATTTTCAATTTCTCTTCTCCCACCTTCCTTTTTCTCTCCTCTTAACCTCAGGGGAAACAGCAGGAAGACAGCAGGTCCCTACATCCCCACCAGCCTCAGAGAACAGCAGCGCAGCACACAGCATCGGCAGCACGCAGAGCACCCCGTGTTCCAGCAGCAGTGCAACTTAACTCTGGGGCAACACCCTTGAGGAGCAACACAGGAGTGCAGAGGTTCAAAGGACTCTGTGTGGACATGAGTGTTTTAAAGAAAAAAGGATTGGTTTGGTTGCTTTTGAAAAAAAATGCAGGATTTTGCTACAGAAAAAAGACATTTTCTTTTGGGAAAGCCACTGTGTGTGAGTGTGCAGCCTGTTGGATCTTCTATAGCAAGTTATGCTACATGTGACAAAGCTACTAATTTTACAGTACTGCAAACCTGTTGTAGGGGTCCATGGGCCCTCAATGTGAAATTTA